TAATTTCTTTTTCGATTTTTTGTATAAGTGAGTCAAATATATAATATAGATAGGATGTACAGATTTCCGGCTTTCATTTGATACCAAAATTAGCATCATACAATACATATAAATATTTAAAATATTCGTTTAAAATTATCATTTAAACTATGAAGTGCTTTTATTAGGAAATAATAGCTGATTATAAAAATTGGAATACTCAGAATTGCTATAAATGGACTCTAGTTTCACATGCATATCAACTTTTCTATGTGGAAAAACTTTTTTTTTTCAAAATTGTTACAGGATCCCCGCAAAAATAAAACGAAGTATTTCCAAAAGAATAACATTTATCGCCACTTCAAAAGTAGAATTTAGTGAAGTTTTTGACCTTCTGTGGAAGTGATGTTTAATGACTACCGAAGATGCGAAAATAATTATATTTTTTCAATGCTGAAGATATTTTTATACCCACCATCAGAAAAGATGAGGGGTATATTGATTTTGTCATTCCGTTTGTAACACATCGAAATATTGGTCATACACCCACAAAAGTATATATATTCTGGGTCCTCATTAAATTCTAAGACGATCTAGCCATGTCCGTCCGTCCGTCTGTCTGTCTGTCTGTCTGTTGAAAGCACGATAGAGTCCCAATGGAAAGAGCTAGAGGGTTGAAATTTCACATAAATATTTCCTATAGGTAAGGTTTGTTTGGTATTGAAAATGGGCAATTCGGATAGCCCCCATACAAGTGGCCCCTCGAAAAGCAGCTTTAACAGCCATAACTTGTTTAAAAATACGATTATATAGATGAAATTCGACATAAGTAAGTTTCATACAAGTCAAAATCTATCTAAAAAATTTTATGAGGATCGGTCCATGATTGACCCTACCACCCATATAAGGTCCCCTTTAGAAAATGACTGAAACGCTCATTAATGGCTTAAAAATACGAGTGTAGCGATGAAATAAATTTAATACGAACCAAATTCTGTCTACCTAATTTTATGAGGATCGACCCATAATTAACCCTACCCCCCTATATAAGGTCCCCTTCAGAAAATTACATTAACGCTTATAACTGGCTTAAAGAATACGATTATATAGATGAAATTCGACATAAGTAAGTTTCATTCGAGTCAAACGAGGTTTGATGGTGGGTATATAAGATTCGGCATGGCCGAATATAACACTCTTACTTGTTTGTTCTTACATTTTTGTGAGATAAAAAATTTTATTTTTGTGCATCTGTTTTAAATGTATCTATTACCCTTATTAATGTTAAGTCAAATTAGTTGTATTCCATAATAATGCAATTTCACTTCCGAATAACTTCAAAAAAAAAAAGGGCATTAAAATTACTTCTTAAGAATGATTTCAGAAGTAGTGAATTTGGAATCAAATAAAAAGGACATCCCTCCTATGACAAGCCTGTGTTAAAATTATCACTTCTTCAGGACTTCTGAGGATGTGAGGTTTAAAGAGTTTCAGGAGAAGCCAAAATAATTCCATTTTTTCAATGTTGAAGATATATTTTTTGTTCTTACATTTTTATGAGATAAAAAATGCTTTTTACTTCCCAGCAAAAGTAAAACGAAGTACTTCCAAAATAAGAACATTTATCAACACTTTAAAGGTAGCAGGTCTTTTTTAGTACTTCCATAGAGTAAATTCTACTTCTTTTTCGCTTCTTTGGAAGTTCTTTTCTTGCTGGGTTAGTTATAACATTCCAGCAAAAAAAGAACTTCAAAGAAGCGAAAAAGAAGTAGAATTTACTCCATGAAAGTACTGAAAAAGACCTGAAGAAGTGATGAATTTGACACAGGTTTGTCATATGAGGTTGTTCGGAAGTGAAATTGTAATACATATTATAGAATACAACTAATTTGATTTAAATAATATTAACATTAATTAGTCTAATAGAAACATTTAATATAAAAGCCCAAATATAACATTTTTTATCTCATAAAAATGTAAGAACAAAAAATATATCTTCGACATTGAAAAAATGGAATTATTTTGGCTTCTTCGGAAATTCTTTAAACATCACATCCTCAGAAGGTAAAAAAAATACTTAGTGCTACCTTTAAAGTGGTGATAAATGTTTTTCTTTTGGAAGTACTTCGTTTTATTTTTGCTGGAAAGTAAAAATGAGTAGAAATTTATAACCGACTAGCTATACCCAGTGTGCTTTGCTACCCTAAAAGCAATATATATAAAAAATAACTCTACGATTTTGAAGATTCTAACTACAATAGTTTTCTACATATACAATTTGTTACATATGAGAGATGCCACGCATATTATTGCAAGTTCGCCAATTTTCCCGAACGTTAATTAAGATTTTAATGTAATTTAAATTAATAAAAATTTTAATAATCTAATAGTTTACCAGATAAACGAAATTTTGTATTTAAGTCATTTGGGGGGTGTCAAGCCTCCATTGAAAGTCCGCCCGTTATTCTCTAATTGTTCACATGAATGACAAAGTTCTTCATGTAAAATTTTTTTCAAAAATATTCAGATGAATATTAAAGTTCTTCTTGCAAAATTTCCCAGATAACCAAATTTTGTATTTAATTCATATAGAAGGTGCCAAGCACGCCATTGAAAGTCCGCCCGTTATTATCTAAATGTTTAAATGAATGTCAAAATTCTTCATGTAAAATTTGAAGATTCTAGTCCTAATAGTTTCTCAGATATACGAATTTTTCTATTTAATTCAATTGGGGGCTCTAAGCCCCTCCGCCCCTTTTTTTCCCCAAAATGTTCTGATGAATATTAAAGTTCTTCGTGCAAAATTTAAAAAATCTAGTTCTATTAGTTTCCCAGATAAATGAAATTTTGTATTTACTTAATATGGGAGGTGCCAATCCCCCAATGAAAGTCCACCCGTTATTTTCAAAATTTTCATATGAATATCTATTTCTATTTAAATTATATGGGGGCTCCAGATTAAAATCCGCACTGTTTTTTTTACAAAATGTTCAGATGAATATTGAAGTTCTTCGTGCAAAATTTGAAGAATTAATTCCATTAGTTTACCAGATACATGAATTTTTGTATTTAATTCATTTGGGAGTACCGTTCCCCTCATTGGTAGTCCCGCAATTTATAACCCAAAATGTTTACATGGATGTTAAAGTTCTTCGTGCAAAATTTTAAGATTCTAATTGTAATAGTTTCCAAGATAAAATAATTTTTCTATTTAATTTATATGGGAGGTGTCACGCCCTCTGCTGCTAGTCCGCCTACTTTTTGTCATAAGTAATTAAAATTTCAAAATAAAAAGTAGCCTATAACCTCCTCCAGACATACAGGAATACACTGTGAAAATTTCAAGAAAATCGGTTCAGCCGTACAAATATACAAACACACATTCATTATTATATACATATATAGATTATGGCCTATATAGGCAAGGTTATTGGAATAAAGAAATTGAGATTGAAAAAAAATAAAGTAAATTTTTGATTAATATACGTATTTTTATACCCACCATCAAAAAAGATGGGGGGTATATTGATTTTGTCATTCCGTTTGTAACACATCGAAATATTTGTCATAGACCCATAAAAGTGTATATGTTCTGGGTCCCTATTAAATTCTAAGACGATCTAGCCATGTCCGTCCGTCTGTCTGTTGAAATCACGATAGGGCCCATACGGGAGGAGTTAGACAGTTGAAATTTTGCATAAATATTCTCTATTGCTAAGGTTTGACATTAATAAGTTTCATATGAGCCAAAATCTTTCTACAAAATTTTTTGAGGATCGGTCCATAATTGACCCTACTCCCAATATACGGTTCCCTTTAGAAAATGACTTTAACACTCATTACTGGCCTAAACATTCGAGTATAGCGATAAAATTTGGTATACGTAACTTTCATATGAGCCAAAATCTTTCTACCAAAGTTTTTGAGGATCAGTCCTAAGGTCACCTTCAGAAAATGAATTTAACACTCATTACTGGCCTAAACATTCGAGTATAAGATTGAAATTCGGTATAAGTAAGTTTCTTACGAACCAAAACCTCTCTACCAACTTTTTTTAGGATCGGCCCATAAATGACCCTACCCCCCATATAAGTTCCCCTTCTGAAAATGACTTTAATGCTCATTAATGGCTTAAAATATGAATATAGCGACGAAATTTGACACACATAAGTTTTATGCGAGCCAAAATCTCTCTAACTCTGACCCTACCCCCCATATAAGGTCCCCTTCAGAAAATTACTTAAACGATTATTGCTGGCTTAAAAATACGAGTTATGAAATTCGACATAAAAACCTTGTGTACGAACGTTAATCTTGCTACCGAATTTCATGCGGAATCTGGCGGTAATTCACCCTATCCCGCATATAAGCCCCCTTTACATCGAGTACATCGATGATATTCAATGTAAACAAGTTTTATATGAACAAAAATCGGTCTACAAAAAGTTATGAGGATAGATCAATAATTGACTACACCCCTCATATAAGGTCATCTTTAGAAAATTTGATTGAAAATCGATATAAAAAAGTATATACTTAGGAACATAATTCTTCATTCCGAATTTAATGAGGACTGATCTATAACTGACCCTAGCGCCTATAAAAGGTTCCCTTCAGGAGAGAGTTTTTGTTATTAAAATACGAGTTTTCCTTATTTAAAATACGAGTATTGCGATGAAATTTGACATAAACAAGTTCTATACAAAACGAAATCTATATACAAAATTTTATGAGTATCGGTTCATAATTGACGCATATAAAGGTCCTCTTCAGAAAATTACTTATACGCTCACGGTTTAAAAATTGAACAAAAATATATTGTTTTTAAAAATTAATATTTTGTTAGTTCAAAAGAGATCGGTCCATATTCCAAATATCACCCTGATGTTTATAGGGTATTATTCCTTTTACGACATACAGTTATAATATAACACTCTCACTTGTTTCCATTTAAATACATATTTTATCATAACAAATAACAAATAAATCATAACAAATGTTTTAAAATAATTATTTTTTAGGAACTATGCAAATATATGCGTGGGGAATTTAATGCGGAGCGGGAACTTCAGGCCATTCAGTACATTATAGGACTAGGAATAGAACGAGAAGAACTTAGGGATGAAATATTCGTACAATGTATTCGTCAAACAACAAAAAATCCTAATTTGGAATGGACTGATCGTTTATGGTTATTATTGTGTTTAATAATCGTAGCTTTTCAGCCGAGCAAATTACTGTTCAGGTACGTATTCATTTAATATAGGTATACTAATTGGTGCACATTTTTATAAATCCCGATATTCTGGAGTTCCAAAAATTTCATAACTCGAAAAAATTTTATCTAAATAATTTAGCATAAAATATTTTTTACTATTTTATTAAACTATATCGGCAGATATACAATGACGGAAAAATAATAGAAACGCTTATATTTCGGGTGAAACAAATTATTGTCATGCAACAATTACCCGTTAAAATTTTTTATTTAATTAATAATATTAATATCTGAAATGAAAGGTATTTAAGTCTACTTTCATGCATTATGCATTAATTTTTAAAAGTTATAATCATTAATGATGTTTTTAATATCAAAATATGATTTTTAAATTTTTATTTATTTATTTAATAGATAATGAAATGATTACAAACACTTAATCATAAGAAATAATAATTATCTATATATGACTTAACTAATAAGTTGTTAGCCACATAAGCAAATAAGAATTAAAGACTCATTTTATGAGGGAAATTAAGCATATTACCAGGAGTAATTAATACATAACACTGTTTAATATTCATACTATTCAAATTCATTAATTAAGTTTATATTTTAAACAAGAAACTAAATAATTAACAAGATTATTATAGTTAAAGGAAATACCGTTGAGAATACTTATTATCTCAGATACCCAGCGGAATTTTTTCCACGTACATCTACCATCTGAGACTAAAGACAATGTAGATGCGACTAATCCAGTCTGTATTCAATTCCAACTTTCATTTACACAGCGATGGCCTAGGCCGTACGATGGGTCCAACTCTACCGACATTGTAAGCGAAGGTCGGATGAGTACACATGAAACGAAAGAACAATAACGAAAAAAAAAAAAAATTTCCCAGCAGCGGCTGGGAATCGAACCAAGGGACACTCATATTTCATGTTTCGTGATCAACGCGCTAACCACTTAAGCCACATCACATTTAATAATAATTGAGTCGAATGTTAGTTTTATGGAATAAAAAAAAAACGAGATGAAATAGATGTGCATTTTATTTTACAATAGAATAGGAATAATACTGATCTGAATCGGATGCTAGTTGTATGCTCTTCACAAAATTTTCCTATTGACATATTAGTATACAATCCGATGCGTTTTAATTTGTAATAACCTGCGGACTGCTGGGTATATATAATTGGCTTTTATTAAAATATTTTAATCTAAATTCGTTGAAAATAGGACAGCAACCAATGAAGTGAAAGGTATACTCCGTAGCATCCAGAAGACTTGAAGTGTGAGATGACAAGTTCGAAGAAGAAATATCCAACAAAAAATAATTTAACTGCGAGTATAGGTCGTGGAATTGAGAATTTTTTGCATTTGCATTGTTTTTACTAGAGGTAAGATTTGTTTACAATATGAGCGTATAGGCGTTGACACATTCGTTGGTGAAAAATTTATTTTAAGACACAGCACAGTGGGAAATCTGTTAGATATAAATGCCTCAAATTTTACACCAATAATTTTGACAATATTTCTGATCATATATATTAATATGAGCTTCAAAAATTCAATGGTTGCTTGGTAATACATGTTTGAAATTTAATATTTTTATTGCAACAGTTTGAACAAAAGTTTTGTGGTGATATTTCTTTTCGAATGTAATGAATTAATGAACAATTGATATTATTAACTACTTATATAGAAATTAGTTTTATCTTAATATAATTTATAAATAAATTATGAATAAATAAAAACCTACCAATACTCAGAAAAACTTATATTGAAAAGTAATGAGTTGAGCATTTTAACTCACGGTCATGGGATTGGAGGCAAGTACTCATACAAATCACTACTTATATAAGTACTTGTATGTAAAGAATTAAAAATTTTGGTTTGTTTTAAAAACACTAAAATTGTTCACACAGAATAAGGGTCGGGTCACAACACCACTGCTTAGTTATTTTATTGTGTGTCCAATAATGGTTTTCACAGAAAAGCTTTCTGTGAGTGTGAAAAACTCAAAATAAAGTACTTACTGATCTGGCTATATGTAAGTCATTATAAGTATACTTAAAGTAATGCAGGCGGTAATTAGTAGTTATTAATAAGTAAGTGGTTATCTATTACCGAGTTTTTGCTGGGTATGTATACTTTTTATACCCACCATCAAAAAAGATGGGGGGTATATTGATCTTGTCATTCCCTGTGTAACAAATCGAAATATTGTTCGCAGACCCCATAAAGTATATATATTCTGGGACCTCGTAAGATTCTAAGACGATCTAGCTATGTCCGTCCGTCTGTCTGTTGTTGGCACGATAGCGTCCATAAAAAAAGAGATATTGAGATGAAATTTTCCCAAAATATTTTTTATTGATCAGAAATGTTTGGTATTGAAAATGGGCAAAATCGGTCAACGATTTCACATAGCCCCCATACAAATGTTCCCCCGGAATATTGTGTAAAAAGCTTCAAACATTCACAAATTCGTTGTTTATGAAGCAAATGGCACAAAATTTCGCATAAGTTAGTTTTTTGACCTCCGAAATAAAATTCTGAATTATGTCGGACATAGGACCACAATTGGCTCTACCCCCCATATAAGGTCCCCTTTTGAAAATTACTATAAATCTGATTTCTGGCCTAAACATACGAATATAGCGATGAAATTTGACACACATAATTTTCATGCAAGCCAATATCTCTCCACCAAACTATATGTGGATCGGTCCATAATTGACCCTACGCCCCATATAAGGTCCCCTGCAGAAAATGACTTTAACGCTCATTATTGGCGTAAAAATGCGAGTATAGCGATGAAATTTGACATAGGTAAGTTTCATATGAGTAAATATCTCTCCATTAAATTTCATGTAGATCAGTCCATAATTGACCCTACCCCCCATATAAGGTCCCCTCCATAAAATTACTTTAACGCTCATTACTGGCTTAAAAATAGGAATATAGCGATGAAATTTTACAGAAGTAAGTTTTATATGAGCCAAAATCTCTCTACCAAATTTTATGTGGATCGGTCCATAATTGGCCCTACCCCCCATATAAGGTCCCCCTTCAGAAAATGACTTTATCGCTTATTATTGGCGTAAAAATACGAGTATAGCGAAGAAATTTGACATAAATAAGTATCTTAGGAGCCAAAACCTTTCCAGCTAATTTTATGTGGATCGGTCCATAATTGACCCTACTCCCTATATAAGGTCTCCTCCATAAAATGACTTTAAGGCTCATTACTGGTTTAAAAAGAAGACCATATTTTATGAGGATCGGTCCATAATTGACTTTAACCCCGTATAAGGTCTCTTTAAGAAAATGACTTTAATGCTCATTACTGGCTTAAAAATAAAAGTAGATGTATGAAATTTGTAATAAATAAGGAACTGAAATCTTCCTACCGACTTTTGTGAGAATTGGTCCATATGTGTATATATAACCCTACTCCCTATATAAATTAACATTTTTAATTCGAAAGAGCACTGTCAACAGTTAAACCCCCATTAATGGACCTCTTTCAAATATTACAATGATGTTCTCATTAATATCGATACATAATAATAAAATATTCAAAGTATCAAAGTTTATTTATGTGGCAGTGATTTGATGGTGGGTATATAAGATTCGGCATAGCCGAATATAACACTCTTACTTGTTTAAATTTATTTCTCATTGAGATAATTGATATGTTCGGGTTCTTTAAAAAGCTTCAGTATATCGTGATGTATGTCTTTTTTTGATTTCAAGATTTTATTCAAATTTTCACAGATTTACAATATGTTACATATGAGAGATGTCAAGCAACTTATTGCAAGTTCGCCTGTTTTTATCAATCGCCAATTTCTATCTATCTATGAAAAATTTGAAGAATATAAAAATTTCCAAGATACACGAAGTTTTGTAATTAATTCATATATGTGGTGGCAAGCCACCCATTGTTATTCTCTAAATGTTCACATGAATGTCAAAGTTCTTCATGTAAAATTTAAAGATTCTAGCTCTAATAGTTTCTCAGTGGGAGCTTCAAGCTCCCCATATGAAAGCCTGCACTTTATCCCCAAAATGTTTAGATGAATATTAAAATAATTTGTGCAAAATTTAAGAATCAATTTCTATTAGTTTCCCAGATAAACGAAATTTTATATTGAATTTATATGGGAGGTGCCACGCCCCCTAATGCTAGTCCGCCTACTTTTTGTCATAAATAATCAATATGGGCGTGGCTCCCCGCCCTCTTGGAAACATACAAACAAACACACATTCATTTTTATATATATAGATAATTGTAATAATATTTTATTTTATTTTATTTATTTTAGTAGATTTAGTATCAAAACTAAATCTTAAAATAGATGAAGGCTTTGACATAAATTCTGACTATTCCCCAATCTATTTAACATTTTGATGTGATATACAACCAAAAAAACTACAACCAGTTCTGTACAATAAATATACAGATTGGAAGTTATATAATAACACCCATCTTCAAATCCAGACAACTGATGACTTGGAAAAAGAAGCTGAAAAATTTGTATCAACCATACAAGCCTCGTGGAAAAGCACGCCTGAATGTAAACCTAAGACATACATCAATCCTATCCCCAAATCATAAGAAATCTTATCTATATATATAAAAATGAATGTGTATGTTTGAACGTTATATACTACTAAACTGCTGAACCGATTTTATTAAAATTTTTACAGCGTATTCCTCCATTCCACAGCGTATAGTTCCATATTAAGAAAATATTAAATCCGTATATTTTAGATAACAGTTAGAGCCCTCAAATTTTGTCGGAGCAACTTTAGTGTCAATATAATTATATATGACAAAAAGTAGGCAGACTAGCATTAGGGGGCGTGGCACCTCCCATTAAATTAAATACAAAAAATACGTTTATCTGGAAAACTAATGGAACTAAATTCTTCAAATTTTGTACGAAGAACTTAAATATTTATCTGAACATTTTGAAGGAAAAAAAGCGGACTTTCATCTGGGGGTCTTGAA